TTAGATTGCCATCAGAACCGGCAAAAAATGCCAGGGACATGATTGACGTTTCATGCAACTTTCGTGTCGAGTAATCTCGAGGAAGACTGTGAGGTAACCTCTTCCCTTGCTTCTTCCAGTCCATTTCTCTCCAGTACGAGACCCTGTACCAGTAGGCTGCACAGTTTCCCAGATCCCACAGCGGGCAAGCATGCCAGTGACATCGGAGCTGGAGGTTCCTTTGATGGAAGTGTTGACTTCCCTCCAATTGATCCAAAGTCAACTCTGTCACGTGCAACCTGAACCGAAGGATTACGACGACTAAGCCGTATGCTCCAAAGCCTGTACCTACTCCGCCAGGGCACGGAGATCACGGACGAGGATCTCGTGGAGCCCTCACAAAGCATCAGAGATGTCTGCTGGAGTTGCTTACCACTCGTAAGTAGAGCTTTCGGACGAGTTTCACAACTGTTTCTGTTGCGATTTTCAGGAGGCCTCATGACTAATTCTGACCACTACCCGTACGATTACCATTGCAATTACCTGTGTTTTTCCTCGAGTTCTTCCTGTCGTCAGGATCGTGAAGTCGCTGTCAGAACAAACTCAGGTTTGGGATTTCGTGAGCGTTTCTTTTAAGTAATGTAAATGTTTCTGTCCGTCTGTGTGTTTTTCCATCCCTCAGTGTGCGCAGTCAGTCTGTCTGACTCTCCCCTGCTCTGTGGTGCTCTGTTGCCACAGATATAGCCTGAGGGCAACATCAAGACCCTCAGTGAGCGTGTGATCGAGCTCACGGAGTACCGAGCTTCGCTGTCCGAGTACCTCAAGGCGAGGCTTGCGGTTAGGAGTACATGAATAGCTTTTGGTCGGGACCTCGGGGTTCTAGGCCTGACGTATTTAGGGAGCAGGGGATCTGGATGCAGCAGGCAGGGGGACACAAAAGCCCAGAAAGATAATGATGATACTCATCACCGCCCAGCTGCGGATGAACGCCATCGCTCCGAATCTGACCTACATGGTCGGGGAGCTCGTGGGCGCACGGCTCATCTCCCAAGCCGGGCCGGTACCTCAGTGCCGGCAAGTTCGTGTCAAGGGCTGAAAGATCCCTATTGTTGAGGTCGTTGATGAGCTTGGCCAAGCATCCATCCAGCACGGTGCAGATTCTTGGTGCTGAGAAGGCCGGAGTCTCAAAGATGGAGCCAGGAGCCCTTGGCCTGTATGTCACCTTGACGGCAAGAGGTCCAAGTCCATGTTTCAGCATACAAGGATGTCCGCAAGCTTGGCTTTTACACGCTGGGGCAAAACTCTGGCACTCATCATCTCTCATCTCATAGGCATCACCACCTCCAACAGCACCAGCACCAGCCCCAGCACCAGCACCAGCCACAGCCACGGCCACGAACAGCCCCAACAGTCCCAACAGCCCCAACAGCCCCAACAGCACACCCCTCAACACCCCCAACACCCCCAACACCCCCAACAACCCCAACAACCCCGACAACCCCGACAACCCCAACAGCCCCAACAATCCCAGCAACCCCAACAACGCCAACAACCCCAACAAACCGAACAACAACCCCAACAACCCGAACAACAACCCCAACGACCCGAACAACAACTCCAACAACCCCAACCACACCAACAACACTAACAAAAACCAAGAAGACCAACAACACCAACAACTCCTACAACACCAACAACTCCGACAACACTGCAGCCGCCGCCGCCGCCGCCACCAGCTGCAGCCGCCGCCGACACCAGCAGCAGTAGCCGCAGCAGCAGCAGCAACAACAACAACAACAACGGCAGCAACAACAGTAGCAAAAGCAGCAACAGCAGCAACAGCAACAGCAACGGCAGCAAAAACAGTAGCAAAAGCAGCAACAGCAGCAACAGCAACAGCAGCAACAGCAACAGCAGCAACAGCAGCAGCAGCAGCAGCAGCAGCAGCAGCAACAACAACAACAACAACAACAATCACCGCGACAACAACAACCGCGACGACATAAACGATACCAGCAGCAATCGTTGCAACAGTCGTGGCAACTGTCTTGCCGGCATTCTCAGTGCACCCGCACGCACCCACACACAGCGACAGACAGACAGAAAGAGACAGCAGCCAGCCAGCCAGCCAGCCAGCCAGCCAGCCAGACAGACAGACAGACAGACAGACAGACAGACAGACCGACGGACAGACAGACGGACAGACAGACAGACCGACACACTAACAGACACACACAAACACACACGCGTGTACGTTCGCCGTCTTGTGATGCCTCGACCGTACGTATTCCGAACTACTCAACCAAAGTTGCTCTGACGTCTTTCTCTCGCTGGCAGGCGCTCTTCAGGGCTTTGAAGACCAAGAAAAGCACGCCGAAGTGCGCAGACACCATGTGGCATCTGCAGGAGGTCGAGAGCGGGCCGACCCGTTTCTTGCAAATTCAGGTACGGGTTGATCTACCACGCCTCTTTGGTGGGCCAGTCCGCCCCGGCTTTGAAGGTGCATCGCGAGAGACATGCCACGATGCGGCTCCTTGCTCCCACAAATTGTCGGATCACCGCAAGGGCAAAATCTCCCGGGTCTTGGCCGCCAAGCTTTCGCTTTGCTGCCGCGTCGACGCTCTCGGAGACCAGGCGGCTTGCACGGGAGCTCACAGCCTGCGCAGGGAAACACTGGTGCACCGGTCGTCCTCTAGCCCTTCTTATCAAAACATGCACCCTGTTCCTTCCCTACTTTCGCCCCGCGATTCCACTTTGTTTCTTGCGGCAGACAGAGTCGTCTCCCAAAGCTTTCGTCGCAGATCCCCTGTCGGACAGGTGGAGCCGACCCTCGGGGAGGACGGGACGTGGGTGAGTCCACCAGTTCAGTCGCCAGCACCACTCAGCCTTGAAACGGAAACCTAAACCTCAGGTCTGCACTAACAGCCGAACGCCGATGAACAGGAGTTCAAAGAGTACGTGGAGAAGCGCCTGGCTACACTGGAGGAGTGGTGAGTGGAATTTTCATGAGTCCGGAGCAATTGCCCGGACCAGCTGTCCCAAACACGCCTCAGGGTTTGGGGCCATCTGCCCGAAATACCCACTGAGGGATATTTTGCAGGGGGCCCAAGGGCCGCAGTCTTGCGAGGAGGGTGGCATGAAGTCGCAGAACAAGGGCATCAGCAGGCGCGAAGAGCTATGGGAGGAGGATGCTACAGGCAGTTGAAACGATGGATGCCAGGCCCAATGTCGGCAAGCACCAGAAGAGGCTTGGGCATGACCCCTCCCTGGAAATCTGGGATTGAGGGGTTTGAGATGGATGTTGAGTGTTCCGCTCGCATCAAGCGGCAGAGTCCTCAGCCAGGTTCAAGCTTAGGGAAGCTTTTGTTTGGTGTTGGGATTGAATGATTCTGCTTCCGCTTCCGGAAGCCTGGAAAGGGTTGGGCCAGCACGTCTGGAGGCCCGCGGTGAAGGGCAGCGCCACGGCCTACAGTGCGGAGGACGACGTGGTTGAGGCCTGGGGGGCATCGGCCAGGGAAGACTCCAGCAGAGGGTCTCTTTGGAGCTCGGCCGGTTCGGATCCGTCAGGAAGCACCCAAGAGGAAGAAGAAGGTGGCAGAGGCCCGACGCGTAGCTTGGGTGGGCACAAGGTGGAACGGGGTTCCGGAATTGCAGGGGCCATCGCATGGGGTTTGCGGTTCAGGGCAGCGGGGCTTGGGGCTATCGTACGGTGCATGGCGGTGTAGACACGCAGGTTGCGGGGATCGCTCCTGCGACCCCTGCCCTTCCCGAAGCCCCAAGCCCACAGGAGGAAGAAGCCGAGCCGGTCCGGCTCTCAGCGATGGACCTGGGGGGTGTGTCGGCCGGCTTTGGTAGAGGGTGTAAGCACCCAGCTCTTGGACCAGACACCCGATGCCTTCAACACCGAAATCCGCACCGCAAGGCTCCGAAGAAGAAAAAGAAGAAGGCGGCCGACGCCGAAGAGGCCGCAGTAGTGGCCGCAGTGCTGAGCAGGGTCGGGGCTGGGGGGGCCTGTGACTCCGGCAAGGCGGAGGCCGAGGAAGAGGAGGCCTTGCGCTCTTGGAGCGATCAGGGAGCAAAGTTTCGGTTTTCATGCGACAGGCACCCAAGAAGAAGAAGAAGAGAGCAGCCTGAGCTGCCGAGCTGAAGCTTGGTTTCGCCTGCGTGCTTGCAGAAACGGTATAGGCCAGCATAGTATGGTAACCTGCTTTTTCTTTCAATCGGCATGACCCTCGATGTAGAGAAATGACCGAATAGCTGTCGCCCCCTCCCTAAAGCCCGAAACGTCCTCCCCTCCTGTCCATTGCGCTAAGAGACAGGATCCAGTGCACATCAGTTCATTAGCGTCTCGGTGAGGGTCCCGTTGGAGTGTGCAGTTCTCCTGTCATACACTTCAAGCGCCACACACCTGCAGGGTGTGTTTCAAGCGCCCTGTGTCGGAAACGGAACTCTTCACTAGGAGACAGCAAGTTTCACACATGTCAAGTGACTGTACATACGTTTGGGAGCTGGTCCCTGTCCTGAGTGCAGCTGCCCAGTATTCCGTGAGCGAATGTCAAATCTATCATGGCTCGAAGCAACGCCCGTTGTGAACCATACAGATCTCAGCGCCACTCATGTTGCCGGCTTCTTGATGCAGGCTCAATCAGCTCAGGATGAAGGAGTCGTCAAGCGATGTTGAGGGTTTGTGTCCACATTTCCCACACAGCCGGCCGAGCTGCAGCCTGTTTCAGCCTCAAAACGCCGACGGCTTCTGACGTTTGCCAGATTTAGGATTTCGAGAAATGCGAGGCGTGCCCTTTCTCTTGGCCATGGCTCTGTGGACAGCTCCTTCGAGGTTCGCTGGTGCAATCCGTGATGGTCGCCTGCAAGAACACATTCCACCATGATGCCCTTAGTACATCTCAAAGCTGGGAAGGTACATCTCCGAATCCGGAAGAGGCTTGCTGCGTCTGCGGGCCCGAAGAATTTACGAGCCCGAAGAGCAGTGGATGCCCTTCAGAGACCGGCCCGGCGGCTGCTCGATCTCGACCTTCGGTCGGGTGATCTTTGAGACCATATAAGACCACTCCCACTACGACGACTATATGGAGATCTAGGTTTATGTGCTGCGTTTGTCAAGTCGGGTTCGGGACAGAAGAAATCACTTTACCAGCAGGCAGCACCTGTCCGCCTCCATGTACGAAGAAGAAGGGCTACGGCATTGGTATTTCCGACGGCCAAGCCGACTTTCAATGTATGGTGTAGGTCTGCTTTCGAGGCGTTGAAAAATATCGCCCAGAGAACCGACTCGGCTTTCCTGCGATAGCAAGAAACAGGATGTGCTTTTTCAACCCTTGTTCTCCAAGAAGCTGCAACTTCTTGGAGCACAGCAGGCTGAGTGAGATTTGGGCCTGGGAGCTTACGACCTGGACTTTCGCTCCCTGGGCTGGCCGGTTGTGGGCACTGAGGGTTTGGATGCTCACTTGAAGAGGCTGTGGAATCTTGTGTACAATGAAGTGTTCCGCGTCATTGGAATTACGCGAAAGTCCTACACTTTATTTTCCACAGGGCAAGCTGTGCCATGCATGGGGCCTAGGTTTGAGCATGCATGTACACTTTGTTTCCGGAGCTGGGACCACCCTTCTGTAATGTAGCAGCTTAGTCGGGTATAGCCTAGCACCCTCTGACAGACGTCGCTGGCCCGCATGCTTCCTGCATGGCTCCCGATCTTACGATGGTCGGTCGTAGTCGTGCACGAAGGAAGTTCCGACAAGTAGGCAAGCCGTCTCTGCTCTCGTGGTGCTCGTGGCTCGGGGCTGAGTGTAAGTCGTTCCGCAAGCAAGCGGCTAAACATCGGAAAAGATGCCTCGACGCTGCAGTCGCATCACCGCGCTGCGTGCAAAGGCATCCATGCGAATCCATGCCCCGAGCCTGCATGCTGACGCTTCCACAGGTTTTTAGCCTCCCATTCTTCTCAACTTCCAGGTCTGTCAGAGTCCGTCAAAGTCGCGGTGTCGTTCCATCTTTCTTCCCATGTTGGCTGGTGGAAAGTGATCCGGGCATGTGTGCGCCGGTGGGGACTCGAAGCTGCGGTTGGGGGTGGACAGAAAATTTTCGGCTGTTCCAAACGAGTGCGAGCTGTGAAACGTGGGGAAATTCAGAAATTCCTAAACCCGAGTTCGCAAAGGACGGTGTCGTGGTATCAGGTGCCTCGCAGCCTCGAAGTCAAATCTCTTCCAGCCCATGGCTGCACCTGAGGTGAGATCTGCGGCAGAAGCCTCCATAGTGTGCCTGATCGGTTTCGGAGCATAGGGCAAGTGAACCCATACTGTCATCTGAAACCTTACGCCTTTGGGCTGCACATCTGGGGGATCGGGCGGTGGTGTAACCATGGCTTGAAATTAGGTAGTATCAGCATGTCGGTGAGGCTGTCGCAGAGAAGCGGCGGACAAAGTCTTTTCCCGCGAAATCTAGTTAACTTGCAGCAGCGTGCCCGGCTCTACAGACGGACCACGCCTTCCAACTGCAACTGCAGTGCCTGGGCAGAGTTTCGCTTCTTTGGAGAATGCATGTCTGCTTGCCATTTGAGCAGACTGGTGAACTCTAAAAGGTCCGTGATGGAGAGGGCGCCGCCCGCTGAGCCGGATCATCAAAACGGAGAAGTGGCGCCCGGCTGAGAGCAGGAGGTCTCTGAACACAGGCGTCGCAGTTTCCTCTTTCCGTGCCTCTTGAGTATGCTTGGGCCGCCAAGGCAGACATAGCAGTTCACCTTGCACCAGCCGACGATCTGGGACAAGGCCCTGTTGAGGACTCGATGTCGGCGTGGCGGTCCCGTGCCTGAGCCTGCAGTTAGACAGTTTGGGCGGGAGAGCCGCTTCCATTCTGATGAAGAGAGATGCAGTCTGTTGTGTATCGCAGTCCTGTGCTTTCGAGCTGACAAAAAGGTTTTTGACGCATCCGTGCGCTAGGCCACCGCCAGTGCATGGAGACTCTCGTGCGACAAGAGTGTGATCGAGAGCGCAGCTCGAAGAACTGAAGCACAAGCTGCTCGAGGAGACTCAGCGCAGGCGGGCATTCTCAGTAGTCATGAAGCTCCCGGCGTGAAGCCGCCACTTTCCACCTCTCTTGAGCATGGCACTTGGGCCAGGATCGAAGCGGAGGCCAAAGTAACACGCCTCCTGGACATAGTCCATTCTATCACGCGTGGGACGAGGGTGCCCCTTGGCCAGTTTAGGCTGAGGGCTGCAGGACTTCAGGTGCTTGTTCCAGCGAATCGTGCTGATGCCAAGGGAGCAGTTGGATTTGGAGGTCGCCAGGCTCTCAGTCAGGAGCCAGGTCTTGAAGGAGAACGCAGAGAAGCACGAAGCGCAAATGCGTGCGATGGTGGAGGCTCGTAGATTGTAAATGCTTTTGGAGTCGTGGAGCACACGCGCAGATTTTCTTGTAAATTGTGGACCGGGCTCGGTGCAGGAGAAGAACGAGTTGAAGCGTCGTTACGACGAGCTCCTGACTCACAGCGAGCGCTTGCATGAGGCGGGCCGAATTTGAAGTTGGAACAAACGCAACTCAAGCGCCTGAAGGAGAAAACGAGCTTGAAACAGAAGTGTGACGACCAGTATCAGCAGCTGGAGGCCGTCAAGTTTGAGATGCGTGTTGCATGTCTGCATGCAGTGGAATGCAGTGGAGATAAAGTCTACATAGAGCATATCTGAGCTTCAGCTGTCTCGGCTTGCTTTTGGCTGTGCAGAAGCTGCACCTGGAGCGCCTGGAGGAGGGCCTTAGGGAAATGCTCCGGCTCAAAGGAATGGAAGAAGAGGACAAGTTCTGTGAATCCCGTCGTGCGACTTGTCGCTCGCATTCATTTCGTGTCCCCGCAGGAGTGGATGCAGGAGACTGCAACCGGCTCCTCCCGAGCAGAGGACTGCCAGCGGCCAGCCGACTGCACCCTCCGAAGAGGTTCACTTCGCGCCCCCGATGCGCACGCTGTGCTAGAGGAATCGGCGGAGGAGAGCTCGGTGCTGTCGAGCGAAGAAGCATCGAACGCCAAGGATCAGGACTTTCGGCTGACCAGTAGAGTTCTGTACAGCCTGAGTGGCGCTTTGAGACGCTTGCGCCATGCTGCCCTTCAAGGAAGGCTCTGACTCAGTGCCTATGCCACTGAGTCTCGGCAGAGTCTGTCACAATGGACACAGTGAGACCCGAAGTTGGCTTCTAGAAGCATTGGCATTGCTATCCAAGGAATCATCTTCCAGAGCCGGTTGATCCATCATTGCACACCGGAGTGGATCTCCCAGAGAAAACCGCAGAGCAGCATCGAATGGAAGACGAGGACATGATGGGTGCTTGCACTTCCTGTCGTTTGACTTGCGGCTCTCGGTCACAGTCTAGTCCAGGAGTCGCTGCAGGAGACTGCAGTCGGTTCTTCCCCCGAAGAGGACTGCCCGCAGCTAGCCGACTACACCTTCTGCAGAGTTTCACTTCGCGCGCCTGACGTGGCTCCTGTGCTGGAGCTGGAGCCGGCAGAGGAGAGTTCGGTGCTGTCAACTGAAGAAGTTATGCACCCCGCGGATCAGGACTGTCGGGTGATGAAGTAGCGAGAGTTCCGCAGACATAGCCTGTAAAGCGGTGCTCTGAGATGCTTCAGTAATGTTGTCATTGAAGGAAGGCCCTGACTCAGTGCCTACGCCACTGAATCTCGGCAGAGTCTGTAACCATGGACACGACCCGAAGTTGGCTCCTAGAAGCCAGCAGCATTCTCGTTGCCATCCAAGGAATCATCTTCCGGAGCCAGTTGATCCAACAATGCACACAGGAGTGAATCTGCTGAGCAGCTCCTTCCTTCCTTTCGGACACCTGGCATTTTTTGTGAGTACGCCCGCGGATTACCGTGCGCACTGATGTCCGCGCACAATTTCCTGCCCGGACGCATGGTTTGCAGCTCAGGACTGCGCGCTGGTTGGCTCCACGGCAGAGCAGTCACAATCTGAGAAGGTGAGGACGACATTGTCCGTAGAATGTACACAGCTCTGCGAATTGCAAGTAGCATCTGAGCACTGCAGTGTAGTGCAGTGGCAGAACAGTCACTTCAAACGAGCTGTATACATCAAAGGAGGTACCGGCACTTTCCTTTGTGCCGATGCTCTGCGGACGCACGTTTTAGACTTGGCCCGCCCGCCGAACACGGCAGCGGCAGGGGCAAGGGTTTCATCGTGTACCTTTGAACAGTGCGCGGGTTTCTCCGTTTCAGCCTCTTTGGATGGCGCGAGGGTGTGTACGACACCCCGCTGTTACTGTTGAGATTGCAGGTGGGCTGAGCTCGGCCATGTGTCCGCCATGTAAACCAGAAGATTCTTGGCCCCGGCTCACCTGCGCGAAGTGATTTTTGGTCGGGCACTGCTGGTAGGTTCGAAAGCTTTTGGTGACCCTGGCCTCGAGGCGCATGTGTCACAGCATGCTTTGAGGATCTGGCTGTGCGAAAGGTGAAGAGCCTGCTGTCCGGCTGCTAGCTGTAATGACAGATGGTAGCTTGAGCAATATTGACAGCCATGAAGATGTGAAAGAGAAGGAGGAATACTGATCATCGTGATTGAACATGGTTAAATCATGAGAGACAGCAGCCTTGGACTCTTTGGATGCATTTACTGGGTCGGGACCTCAAGCTGTTAACCAGCGATGTTTGTAGTGTTTGCCGTGCGTAGTGAAGCTTTGATGTATCATGCAACTTTATCATGTTCATTGGCAACTACTCTGCAGCCCAAATGACCATCACCCTTTCGTGTTGTTTCCGTAGGGCTAGTTGCCTCCAGCAGGTAGTTAATTCCCAGGTTGCACAGCTTCCAACACCCCACACTTGGCACTGCCATTGCAGCGGGAGCGGAGGCGAACCAATGTCAGTAGGCAGGTGGAGCCGCTCTCGCAATCGCAGCCGCTTGTGTTGCTCACGCTGGTCAGTCCACACACGGGCCAACTTCATGCCATGAACTTTCATCAACGCTGCCGTGCATACCGGGTCTGTCCCATCACACACAGCAGCCGGGGATAACCACTCCTGCCAAGATCTACCGAGCATCCAACGCTTGGTGTAAACCGAAGTAGCATGTTTGACTCACATTGTGGCCCGTTTGACGATGGCCACCATATGTGTTTATAGCAGCAATTCGACAGTGTTAAATTCTGCTATGGCGCTGGGGGGGACCAATGCGAACTTGGCCATCGACGAAGAGCTTAAAGCCACCATAGGCGGGTGGCAGACTTTTGCATCTAGGGTTTGAGAGTGATGAGTTCGGCTCGAGTGTTTTTGTGCAGCTGTGCATTGGTCTGCTTTGGAGCATGTGAGACCATCTGACCAATCATGATGAACGCCACTCCCGCCCGGTCGCGGTGGTGACGACAAGCCAATCAAATAGTGGCAGGCATACCAAGTCAAGCCATAATTACCAGTCAGCGAACACACTGGCAGCACAGCTGCTTCAAACAGCACGAGGGAACAGTAGCGATTTGATGTGCCCGCTGCTGCTGTGCTGCAACTCCTGCTCCTACTTATCTCTCTGTCGCTCCCACCACCACCGCCGCCACCGCGACTGCTAACGGCGGCTGCCACTACTGCTATTTCCTGTTTGTCCGCTAACGCAAGTACCCGAAAGCCCAAACATGGCCGCCAGGGGGGGAGCCACAGGAGCTCCCTCGTGCTGTCAAGGCTGGATAAGGATAATGCTGGATCTTGGGGGGGGGGGGGAGGTTTTGTTTTTTTGTTGTTGATGGCTTCAGGTCTGTCGGGCCTGGTAATCAAAGGTTCTCGAGAAGGGCAATGGATGAGAGTCACCGTCCCATGCAAGTTTCTCAACGACGCGAATAAGCATTGCGAGTGTTGAAGAAGCAACAGTGCTGGGATGAGAGACTTCCATCGATGCAGGCTGCTAGTTGGTAGAGGATGCTGACATCTGGAAGACAGGTCAGTGTGGACTCGGCCGCCGAGTGCCTGACGCTGGCAGCCGGGGTCTCAACATCAGCTCGCCATCACCGCTTGCACGAGCATCTCCGGAAAGCCGACCATGACCTTCCTCGTCACATCGACCGCCATTACCGGCATCACCGTGGCCATGGCCACAGCAATGGCCATGACCGACGGCTATGCCCAGCACAAGCAGCAGCACCACCAACGTCACCGCCAGAAGTGACACATCACTACCATTACTACCCTCATCACATCGCCACTACCTACCCCATCTAAAAGACATTATGCTATCGACATGATGATGCTAGCGATACTGCTTGTAATCATCAACGGTTTCTGCCGCATAGCACAGTGTTGAGCGCTGAGCATCCTGCTCGTCCTCCGATCCCTGCCTGCCAGATTGACTGATCAGGATGCAGCAGGAGCATCCGCCTGTCGTGTCTGTTGACAGCATATTGTTTTCGCATTTAGGTGTGTGCCCTAGCGAGGTAGTAGAGCATGGAAGTCACGGGCGATTTGCAGCATAACTCGAGGCTACTGTCCCCAGAGATGACAGGCAGCCTGAAGAGATCTTCGAGGCAGTCGTGTAAGAGGAATCCATTCTTTGCAAAAGCGGTAAGGGCTAGCGGCTAGCACAAGACTGACGGAGCGATGTGATGCAGTGGGGGCACGAGGCTGCATGGGTGCTGTTACACCGCAGCCAATCAACCTCTGACTTTTTTCAACCTCTGACTTTTTAGCGCAAGAGCGCGGCGATGCAGTCCAATGAATCCGGCTATGACTCTGCAGCAGAGTCAGTCTCCTCGTCGGAGGCCATACGAGCAGTGAACAGCCTCGTGCGGGCAGACCTGCACGAGGCTCGCGATGCCTTGCACGGCCCTCCGCTGCTTCTCTACCGTGACCGCGAGGCACACTGGAACAATGCAAGCTATGCTCCTGAGAAGGAGTTCACAGAGGGTGGCCGCTGTAATGGCGGTTGCAGCCCGTGTTTGTTCCACAATGCGCGACTGGGATGCCCGAGGGGCGATGCCTGTCGCTACTGTCACGAACACGACATCGGAGCGGAGAGGGTGCCACACCGGCCACGCAAGACTCTGCGCCACAAGATCAAGAGGAATGCCGAGGATCTGCTGCGAAGGTTTGACGTGTCACCAGAGCGAGTTCATGACGAGCTCCAGGCAGGCAGATCTCCGATCTTGCAAGCCCAAAGAGCCGTAAAGAGCCCTAGGGAGGAGTCGTCGAACTACAATAGGCAGGACAGAACAGGCGAGGTAAGTCTGGGCTGCAAGTCGACACGTAGCAGATGCACTGAGCTCCAAACCCTAAGCCCTGGTTAGACTCCTTAATCATCAATCCTCATTTTCTCACCCCCCCCCCCCGCAGGTGTTGGCTGCAGGTAGCCAATTTGCGGTCAACTTCCTGGCAGGCCTTGCCTCAACACAACAACCGAACAACAGAGAAAAGTGGCCATGATAAGCAGCGGCAGCGAGACTGGCCAGACTCATGGTAGTAGTACTGATGTGGGATGGAGTGCAACAACACGTCATGTGTAAAACGCAAAAAGCAGCAAGCGAATGCAAGTAGCAATACCAGTAGTGGCAAAGGGGACCAAGGGAAGGTGAGCAATGGCTCCAGTCCGCCATTGTTGTTTGCGATAGCATGAGATACAGAAGCAGCGCAGCCCAACTTTGAGATCCTGGAATGACGCATGTAGCAGCAATAAGAGATAAGGTGACTTGCCATTTCTTGAAGGCGATCAACACTGTCACCCCGTGCCTTCAAAATCCTAAAGCTCTAAAGCCCTAAGGCTCAAGATCTGAATCCCAAATGCCTCAAACTCACTCGACCCGTTGCTCTCTTAAGCACGGCGACACGTACAGCCATGCCTGGGAGCTCCTTGAGAAACCGGAGAGCCTAAGAGACCCAAAGGAGCCCTCCGAACCACCCAAGCCCCAAGCCACCCGAATCTCCTCGGCCGCTCGACAGCAGCCACTTGAGCAAATCCCTGAACCCCGAATTCCTCAGCCCACATCCGTAGTCCACTTCCCTGGGCCATCCCGGGTCTTCGCCCGTTCCTCCGAAAGCCCTTTCCTCCGGAATCCCCTTGAACCCGGTAGCCCTGGAGCACAACCCCCTTAAGAGTGGATCCCTGAGCATTTCCCAGACCCACCAAAAACACCCCAGGCCACTTCCTTACTCCCAGCCCCCCGGACCCAAAGCTCCGAGAAGCTGAAGAAGGCCGCGTGCTCGGTCGGGCCGGACCCAGGGAGCGGCAACGAGGCCTCCTTTTTTGGGGGCCATCCGGCCGGGCGGATGGGGGGGTCGAACTTGTGTTCATCATTAGGGTACCTTATTTTGGGGTCCTTTCTCTAAGGCTCCTACCATTTAGGGTACTATAGTAGGGTCCCCTCTTTTCGGAAACCCCCATTTAAGCTTTCTGGCGCCGAAAAGAATGCCAGGAGCCGACCAAGCTGGCTCGATCTTTCACGACGACCGGGTCGTCACACTCTGAGGCTGCCTGAGGCCAAGGTGGCCCAAAGGTTACTAGAATGGTTGTGGGTTTAGTGTTTAACTGTTTAACTGTTTGGGATGTTAGCAGTTTTAGGGTTGCAGGATTTCGGAATTTGGGCTTTAGGGTTGGGGTATTATCCTTGTCTTGCAATGGGGCCATATGTCTTGGCACAGAATGCACATGGGGCTGCTTTCAGTCTGGAGACTACCAGTTGAGCCTGATCGCAGTGAATCAGTCTCCAGAAGCATTTTACCCTTGTCTCGTCTCCCCCAGCTGCAGGTTCATCACCATCACCACCACCAGCGCCACCGCCACCACTACCGCCACCCTCATCATCCTGATCCTGATCCTCCTCCTCCTCCTCATCATCATCATCGTCATCGTCATCACCGTTATCACCATCATCATCGTCATCATCAGAATCAATGCCAAGCCTGAAACTTCAAACCAAGCCGCACATGCAAAGCCTCCATGTGCGACTTGTGGCCGAGGTCGACCCTCGGACATTTGGCACATCGCCAATGGTCGAAGCTTTCGGGATCTCCGGGCAGTAGTCTTCGTCTGATTCGCATTGTGGCGGTTTTGTAGAGGCTTGTCATGTTCCTGGCAGATGACTCCAGATCCCGGAGCTTTACGACATTTTAAGCCGGCACTGCATTTGCACTGGCATCAGCTTGCCAACCCAGTTGCATGAGAGGGCGAAACTTGGGTTGTTATGAGTGTGTGTCGGTTGTTCACAATGTGTTTTTGACAGAACCACATTCCTTACCGCTCAAGATTGATTCATTTTCATGGCGGTTCGCTCAGTCCCCAGCCTTTCCTGTGAGTGAAGTCTCCCCAACAGGAAGGAATTCACTTGGCGAGGGAGCCCCGTTTCTTGAATTCTTTTCCAGGGACGTGGTGTTTGTTTTCGACCTTACTTGTATGTAGATTGGAGACTCATGTTATGCATTACTGGTAAAAGCCTCTGCTGCTCGGTAAAGGCCTCGTCTCTCTGGATTATAAGGACTGTGGCCCCTTGTCCAACCAAGTACCAGCGCAAGCTGCAGATCCGAACCTTCGCAATCTGCATCCGCTCACAACTATCCTTCCCAGAGTTGCTGTTGACCTATGTCACACCAGTCAGAGTCTCAAGGATGAGAGGAAGCGTAATGTCATGCAATAGTAGTCGTCTTCCTAGCACACTTCTTCTCAGAATTTTTTCTGGCTGGTATCGGTGTGTCGTTACTATGATAGTAAATCGCATGGCATCCACAGGGCAGACGCATGATAACAATAGCAAGTAGACACGACCCTGATCATGAAGTTGTCGCAGTGACGTATGGACTCAAGTGACAATGCGGTCCTGAACCCTTCCTTATAGAACCTAAACCCTAAAGTCAGTACCTGGCAGACGGAAAAGGGCCCTCAAAAAAAAAAAACCCTTCCTTATAGAACCCTCAGCGGACCCAATGCAGAGTCGAAGGCATCGGTCGTGGCTTAGCTACGTGGGCCTGGCATTTCAACCACGCTCGCTCTTTGAGCGGTTCTTAATTACAGCCGCCCACCCAATGTTCTAAGATGTTCTGACTATGATGTTCTAGCAAGTGTTCTTGCGGACGCGCTTTCATGGGCCCGTTCAGAACGGAAGAACGGGAAACTCCATGCACGCCGTCCGGCCAGCCCTGTCGCAGCCGGCTCCGCCCGAGCCATGAGGAGTAACACAAGGAAATGTCAACATTCACAACAAGTTGAACTGTTGGTAACTGCTGCGATGCAGGGTGGCTCGTTCTTGTCCCTATGTGACAGTGGGCGCAAGCATCGATCAGATGCCGCACCCGACGATCTCGCTATTTATACAGCAGGCATCTGGAGTGAAACTCATGTGACCGTTTCTAGAAGCGCCAGGAACCTCATAAATGGCCGTCGGGGTGAGGGACCATCTGTCACAGCCGGCAGATGAACCCAAGCAAGCTTCTCGGAAGGGGTCCTGGATGCATCGAATTTGAGTGCGCAGAAAAGAGCCAGGGTTCCCCTATCCTTTGTTGATTGCTTGCGTTGTGGGGCTCTGTCAATAAACGATTGGGTGTGGGTCGGCCCGATAGGCAACTTTCCAAAACCATTTAGCAGTACTACGTGGTTTTGAAGATCAAGCTGCCCGATGCCTCAGGATTTGTCCAGAATTACCGCAAGAGAGGTTCCTTTCCCATTGCACCACGGATGCTGTTTGTTCGGGGCAGTTCACGGAATTCCCAAAGCTGAGCCCACATCCTAAGCCTCTGAGCTTGGGCATCAATGGCTGATATCCGGCTCCAGGCCGTGGTTGCAGAGCTGAGCGACTCGGAACCGCCGGAGTCCCGACCAGGGCCTTTAGGGGGCCTTTGGGGCCCTAGCAAAGGTCCTGCCCTGCATTGTCAGGGCAGGCGTAGTCGCAGGCAGAACCGCAGCACAGGATAGCAGCCTTTGCAATTGGTGCGAGCCTCGCTTCGGCACCAAGCGCAGCACCGGGGCCTGTAGGACCGTAGGAGCAACTCGTGCAAGAACAAGTTCCTGTGAGAGTCCCCATAGTGATAGTGAAGACTCACAACGATGTGGAACACAGTGAAAGCGAAGGTCAGTGTTTACAGAGTCAAGGCCTTCTCGGTCTCTGACGTTTTCGGTTAGTTACCGTAAAGCAGCAGTTTTCATCCTATAGGAGTGATTGGATCCTTGGAGTTGACGTGCGTCTCCTGAGTCCTGGAAAGAAACATGCTTAACAACTCCTGCAGGTCCCCCACATGTATTGCTTTGGGAGTTTATCCGCGTACTCGCCCGTGATCACAAGTCGATGTGAGTGGACATGTTTAAGCTTTAGGGCGTTGACCCCTATGTCGTCAGTCAGATCTCCCACCGAAGGCCTTATTGTATGCCCCCAACTCGCGAAGTAGGCTGCCTCAAGTTAAGTTTAAAATACTTAAACTCCTTGTACTCCCAACCCTGAAGCCATTTAGCCCAAACCCGTGTCCCACAAACTCTACCCCCCCAGGCCAAAAGCCTGAAGTTCCTAAAGGCCCCGCGCAGCCACCCAGGTGCTTGGTTCTGGTGTCCCTAGAGGGGCTGCTGCCGGATGCTGCCTCACCTGACTGGGTGCGCGGGGATGGGGAGGGGGCTTTTTTTTTGGGAGTGAGCATGTCGGGACCGGATAGCGAGAGGGAGTCACGTAACCCAAACACTCAAACTCGAAGACTCTGAATCTGAAGCCCTAGGCCCGAAAGACTGTACTTGGATCAGGCGATGATCGCCTGGACTCCTGCTGTTGGGATCTCGGCTTCACGAGTTTCCTGGGCTGGCTCCTGCGATGCCATGCCGGACATGTTCTCTCGTGGGCATGTGATAACCAGAAGAGCAACTGCAACAACAGCAATACGTAGAAATGTTGGAAGTATTGGTGTTCGCAGTGATAGTCGTAAATGGGTCCTGCCGCCAGGTTTAGGAAACCCATGGCCAGAAGTCTGCACCCTCAAAAGTATGCCATGTTGCTTGGTTGACTCGGATGTTCTCATGAAGGGGCATTTCGGGGCGCAGAACCCAGAATCGCACATCTTTGGCCATGTTTGTTTATTTTCGGGTTAGGCTTAGATTAGACTGGTTGTGTAGTGCCTGGTCGGGTCTCAGAGGTTTTGTGGTGCTTCCAGGATGTTGAGAGCAAAGTGGTGATGCTGTTGTAGGACGCGCCGGTGAAGCTTCGGATGCTTTGTCGGCGGCCCGGAGATGCTGAAGTCTTGAGCCTGTTCAGCATCATTCAACAAACCACTGTAGGTATTGACCTTGTTGTCGATGGCAGTGCTGTGTTTGCAATCACTTGGAGCACCGGCGTCAATAGTTCGTCTTGGCAAACATAGTCACAATCAGTACTGCGGCCACATCGTGGCGACAGTGATGACGAGAGTGGCGATGATGGCGATGATGGTGGTGATGATGATGATGATGATGGTATTTGCGGTTGTCGTGGTGCTGGCGGCGGCGGTGGTGGTGATGGCGGGCAGTGATAGATGATGATAGATGTTGATGGTGGTGGTGATATTGAGAATGAATTAAGGGTCATGCCAGTTTCTAGTTCTCGTCACAAGGCTTGTTGCCAGTGAAGCTTTCGATGGTCATGGCAACGCTAGCTTTCAACTTACCTCACACTAACACCCCGGAGCCGTCATTTCCAGTTCTTGTTGTCTGACACTTTCGGCCAAGGCGCATCGTCCCGCAGAACCCTTCGTGAGGAGTTTGCCGACTTCAGCTTCAGGGAGTGGCCCAGCTGGGACGGTCAGCGTTCAGGGACTGGGTCAAGGGTTCAAGGCGCCCGACAGGGTGTGTAGGAGTTGGTGCCTTAGCAGCACGCCCGCAAGATGTGGGGAAAAGGGGACGGAGGCATGTCCCCGCTCAACAGGTGGTGGGCTCCCCCGGCATGTTTTGGCCTTGAAAAGTGTGGGAAACAATGTAAGCCGGCAACATTGTGGTCCCGAAGCCATTCCCAGCATAAGACTTCGTGATGAGGCTTTCCCAATGTTTTCATTCTTATGAGCAAAAAGAGCTTGGGTGCGCCAGGCTGAAAATCTGAGTAGGCACTGACAACCGCTCAGACCGTAAACTGTAAGTAGTGGTGGTGGTGGTGGTGGTGGCGGCCGTCGTCGTCGTCGTAGTAGTAGTAGAAGCGGGGTGGGAGTAAACGTAGAAGTAGTCGTTGTCGTATTAGTCGTAGTAGCAGCAGGAGTAGTAACCCTAGCAGCAGAAGTAGTGGAAGAAGAAGAAGAAGTAGTAGTAGTAGTAGTAGTAGTAGTGCGGCAGCAGCAGCAGCAGCCGTAGTCGTCGTCGTCGTTGTTCTTGTCATTGTTCTTGCTGTCAAGAACAGAGGACGCCTAGGTTGTTTTGTCCTTGACATCCTTGTTGTTGTTGTTGTCGTTGTCGTCGTAATGTTCGTGTTTGTTTTTTTCTGTGTTGTTATTGTTGATATTGGTATAGCTCTTCTTCTTGTTTTTCTTCATATTCCTCTGATTCTTTACCTAGCTTCTTACTCTGGGTAGTTCCCAATGGTAGAAATCTCGACGTTTCGTTGTGATCCTTCCCATGTCTTGCCTTGATTTCTCAACCCCCCCCCCCGGCGAGCCCAGAGCTTTGCTTCGACGTCTCAGGTACAACGCGACGGAGCGATCAGAGGCACGGCCTCGAAACCTCAAAGCCCTAGCGTCCAGCTCCACCTCAGTTCGAAGCCGCAGTACCAAATCTCCTGCTAAAACAAAATCTCACGGTTGAGCCGATGTCGATTTCAGTTGCTGGGGCTCTACTGGATAGATGGCTACCGGGGGGCACCGTGGCCTCGCGAGTTTGGATCTGTTTCAGAGGTCACGCTGGCACAGTATGTCGAAAGCACGCGGGACCGGACGGAAGATGATCGTCATGCGGCCATGACGCGGGCCGGATCCTGAGCATCATCCTAGGCAAGGTTTTTAGGGCATAGGGCGTTCAGGGTTTCGGGACGCAGCGAGCGAACACGACGCAGGCGGGAGCCTTGGGGTTGAAGGCCCGGCGGTCTGTCGATTCGGGGGCCTTTCAGTCCGAGATTCTTCTGGGACTTGCAGTCGGGTGTTGAGCCTAGCAGTAAAGGTTGCGTCAAGACAATGGCTGGAAGACATGGAAAGATCGAGCAGCCTAAACCCTGGCCCCCGAAACCTGAGCAGATCAAGAGGTCAACCAGTTTTTGTCAATTCCCGGTTGACACCCGCAACACACTGTTTCAGAGGATGAGATCGACCAGGAAGAGGTGAGGAAGCAGGCGAGAAGCTCAAAAGGGTTCAGACTTCGACTGAAATGGGTTTGCAGCGATACACATTTCTCTTATGTTTCTGATCTGGTCCGGGCTTTGATGATCCGACCACCTTTCACCCTGAAATGGGCCACTTTGACATCCAAGTCCCAAGCCTCTCAGCCCGAGAACCTGAAGGCCCTAGACGCTAAAAGTCTCAACCCTGAATGCTAAATCACACCGTGCCTAAACGGGGCACAATGGTGGTAGTAGTGGTAGTGGTAGTCGTAGTGGTGGTGGCAGTGGTAGTGGTAGCGGTAGCGGCGGTCGTCGTCGTGGTGGCGGTGGTGGTAGTAGCAGCAGTAGCGGTAGTAGTGGTGGTAGTAGTAGTAGTAGTAGCAGCAGTAGTAGTAGTAGTAGTAGTACTAGCCGCAGCAGGAGTAGTAGTAGTAGTAGTAGTAGTAATAGTAGTAGTAGGCGCCCCCCCCCC